AAGAGATTTCAAAAGTCATAGTAATATCGGGGCGGGGAGGGAGGATGGCTTAAAGCTAGCAGGAACATAATGTTATGTGCCTCCCCAGAGTCTCAACATAATACCAATTCTTGTTGAACATCAAACGTTGTCAGAAATGTGACAAAACAGCAAACCTGATGGCAAATGAGAAAACCTAAACTGAAGGTTCGTGTCTTCCACAACAGGGTAGAACATCAGAAGATTCTCTCCAAAGTATAATCGGAAAATAAGCCATTCCCGTATCATCAGGGGAGTAATGTGTGTCCAGCCATGACTTTCACCCCACCTTATTTCTGTGTGGCCCCCAAATGTGTGTTCCAGGATCAATAAAGCCCCCGAGGTTCTGTAAACCGGAATAATCTGTATCAGGAGTGTTTACTCCTACCCTCTCTGGGCAGGAGAGCAGATGGATTCTCAGAGACAGGAAACACCTTGCCCTGCCCCACCCTGCAGTGCCTGAGCCCTAGGAATAGTGAGGTCAAGCCTGCTGGAGCTGAGAAATGTCCTCAGAAAAGAGAGGGTAGGAGGGAAGCTGTAAGGGACAACCAGGACTGAGGGCAATGGGCAGGAAGAGACAGAATATTATTTTAGGCTGAACATGACAACAGGACACAGCAGATGCTTCCTTCAGGACAAACTAGTTAGGGAGGGGGCAAAAACTGGAAAGGGGGTTCCTGTGAAGGTAAAGAAGAGAAAAAATCTAGCCAACGAAGCCTGTCTCCACGCACTCCTGCCCTGAGCCACCATGCGGCTGCTTTGCACCAAGCCTCGCTCCTGGCATTCCACTTGGCTGTATTCCCTGTGTTCTGTCTACCCACGGTCTTAAAGGTCAAAGTTCTGTCCAGTTCACCAAAGTCAGCACTTAGTAATGTTGGATAAGAGTGAATGAATGAACAAATGAATGTAGCAACAATCATTTGTTGAACTAAAGCCATACTTCAGAAGTAAATGAAAAGATAACATCGGGACCCAAGGTCAAAGTCACAGGATGTGCATTCCGACTTCATTTCTTAGTATCTAGGTGATTTTGGATGAATTCTTTCACTTCTTCATCTGAAATGGGGTCACAGGGCTGTGGGAGAATATTGGGGCAGGGAGGGGGGATGGCTTAAAGCTAGCAGGAACATAATGTTACGTGCCTCCCCAGAGGGGAAGCACCAGGTAAATGTGAAGCTCACTGACAAGGTAGTAGGGGGTTGATGAAATCCTTCATTGTCATGAGCCGAGGATAGGAAGCAGGTACTGTGTATCCTGGACCCTGTAGCAGGAAGCTCTTCAGCCTTTGGAGCACAGCCAGCACCCTTATCTGCCCAGAAAAAAAGCAGGACTGAGAAAGAGCTGAGATTAGAATGGGATCCTGACCTGGAATACACTCATTCCTCAGTGTGTTTCCTCCTCTTTTCCATTCCTTATAAATCAGAAAATTAATTATCCGGAAAAAGAGTCATCTACGCTAGAAACCCAAATGAGTTTAATGTATAATTTATACATGAAAATGTAGATGTCAATGTGTGACAAATCACCAGAAAAATATTTTTGCAGTTAAATTTTCAGGCATCTGTCTTCCTCCCAGAAGAGCCACTGTATAGGTGATGTGAGGCCCCAGGGCTCAGGCTGAGAGGGGCTGGAAAAGCAGCCCATCATTTTTACCAGCTAGTGATGCAGCTGCCAGCACAGCCTGGCCTGGAAGGCCCCAGCCACGCACAGCCAAGTCATAGTTCTGCCCCCTTGGGGTCCTACTGTGTCTTGATCGAAATGGGAATTTTAACACTCTGTACCAGCTCTGTGCTAGACTTGGGGATGGAAGACAGAATGGAGTATGGCCTCATGCTCCAATGGCTTTAAGTCCCCTGGGAGAGCCAGGCAAACAGATGATGAATGGCAGTGACAGTGTGGCAAGTGCTAGGGCAGAGGTAGGTCCCACATGTTAAGCAGCTGCAGAGGAACATGTACTTCCCCATGCCACTAGCATCCCCAAAAGACTCCTGGGGGCTGGGGCTAGTCCTAAAGAAGTCTGTCAGGAGGATGAAGGCAAGGGGACATTCTAAAAGGAAAAACTACACTTGCAAAGACAGAGGCTAGAGCAAGCATATCCAGAAGGGTGAGAGTGGCCTGTGGCCCATGGCAGGGACTGTCCCGCAGCGAGCCTGGAGTGGAGAGCAGGAGCTTGGTCTCCACAGGGTCAGTATGCCCAGTCCAGAAACAGAACTTTCTTCCTGATTGAAAACTTTTAACAGATCAAGTCAGCACTTCACTCTGGCGAACAGAGAGAAGCCAAGTGGAGCAAACGAGAGAGATGAATGAGTTCAGCAAACTCTGAAGTGCAAAATCCACATAGAGGCCCATTCCCAGCAGGATTCTGAGTCCAGTCCCAAGCCTCAGTAGCCTGCCTGCTTCAGGGCACCTTCCTTCACAGGTGTACCAGCCTCCAGGTTTGACTGGCACGTGGCAGCACGTAAGCCACCTGAAATGTATGTTTGGCCCTTGCTTCTTGTCTGACATTGGTACTGACATTTGGGACTGGTATTCATTGTGCAGGGCATTCCCTGATACTCTCTCTTCCACATGCACAATGGGGTATCCTCTCTCACAGCAGGGAGGAGGGCCTGGTGCACAATGCTGGCCCTGAGAACCACTATGCCACTCACGCAAGGGAGGAAGCAACTTTGTGTCCTCATTGCACCTTGGTCTCTGTCCTAGAACCACAGGTAAGGGTCAAGAATATGCCTTCTTCTTCACTGGGCAATCACCAACTGTGTCTGAGACAGTCTGAGATCCTGATGGTGTCTTCCCAGAACTGGGTCCTTCCACAACATTCCACAACCCCATCACAGTTCCTGAGTAGCCCCTTCTGCAACCTCAGAGCCCTACAGACCTGGTCAAAAGTTAAAGGCCTGGGCTAATGGAACTGGACACTCACAGAACAGGGGTTTCAAGCCCCAAGCCCACATCACACCAGTGCCCACTTTAAAGAACCTAGCCTGGCATCAATAATTGGCCCCTTGGTGACTCCCCAGCACATACCTCGCTTGACTTTTGAGGGCCTGAGTCCCTCAGCCTGGGCCAGGGCTTCCCAAGCCTCGCGCTCCCTCCAGCGCCTCAGCTGCTCCTCTCGCATTTTGTAGAAGAGGATGTGCTTCTGCACATCACTGAGCTCGGCGAGGAGCTCAGGGTCGATGTACATGTCATGCAGGATCTGCTGCAGCATGGTGCCACCTGGATGCACACACCAGAAGGGCAGCCAGCTGGGGAAGTCTGGCCAGGAGGGACACTCCAGGTTACTCCTCGCCCTGGCTCCTCACTCCAGGGCCACTCTCAGTGCCCCTTCTCTGTGGAGCATTGTCACTCTGTCTCAGCTCCCAGCCAGCAATAAACTCATCTCCTCTAAGACAGCCACAAGGGCCAGGAGGCAAGAAGCTAAGAAGTAGCTGAGACCCTGCAAGGGGGAGCAGGCACCAGGAGCAATCTAGTCCTTCTGCTGAGTTACCAAGCACTATATCCAAGCAGCGTCTGTGTCTTGGCCTCCCCTGGGGTTCCAGGACAATAAGGAGGGTCAAAGCCCCTGGCTCCGCAGGGCAATGCCCAGGCCCAACCCTGCCTGAGCCACAGGTGTCAAGTGATCTGTTAGTGGAAGGTAACAATGACACCAGCTGTATCAATGACATTGCCCCGGCCAGCCAGGAACCGATCTCTCCTCTGCAGGTAAGAAGAGGAGAAGGAGGCCGCTTTGCCTACTAATTCCATATCTTTTGAGCCAATTTCAAACAGGACAGAGTAGCCAGCCAGCAGCTTTTAGGATCCTCAGCCTCTCCCTCCACCTGCTCCACATTTCCAACCTTCTTTACCAGGACATTCGGCATCCTTAGGTAATGCTTTTAAAACTCCGCCTGAGGTGGGAAAAGAGCTTTCCTCCTAGCTGTGTTATATCCAAGAAAGAAAACAAAATGAAATCATGAGAGACAACTGAAGGGTCATTATCATGGAATTCAAGGACACAAAGGGGAGAGGATTCTCCCCTTTTCCTATAATGAGGTTCTAAAGCTATGCCTGCACTGACAGAGTGATCCTCATTTTCTGTTATTGATCTTTTTGTTGTTTGTTGCAGGTGTCTGGAGATGACCAAAAAGAAAGAATGAAACTGCACCTTCTCTGTGCCTTGAGCCTGAAGCACCCTGAATAGGGTGAGATGTCGCTTTCAGATGCGCAGGAGCTGCTGTTGCTGAGACCAAAATCCCAGCCTAAGAGGTGCTCAGAGCTACTCACAACCACCCTCATATTCAGATGAGGAAATTGGGGTTCAGAGAAGGTAAGTGATTTGCCCGTGGCTATGCAATCAATATGTTGCCACATTGAGACTCTACTCAATTTTCAAATTTGACATCGACTTGCAACTTTGCATCTTTTAACGGTTTGAAAAAGTAACTGGACCAGGAAAAAACAAAGGTTTGGCACTGTGGTCTGGTTGGATCAGTGATTTTCATGTCCCCTTCCCTCCCGAGGACCAAAGGTGGATCAGGCACCCAAGAGCAATGGAACGAAGGTGTGAGTGGGAGCTCTTCTCTCTCTGCAAGGTTAATATACAAGAAGAAGAATTAAGTGGGTTCAGATGAGCCTTAAGCCCATGGCATCAAAACGTGTGGAGCGCCAGGCTGCCCTTCCCCCAGATCTAGCTGGCTTGTCCCACTGTGACCCAGAACTTGAAGCCTCTATACAGAGGCTCCTGCCAAGTAGCTCAGGGGCCCTGGACTCCCACTCCACCCTCTCTTCTCCTGCCCACCTCAGACCGTGCAGCTACTACCACCATTCGGTGTCCTGGCGCCCCTCAAGTTCACAGGCCCAGAGCCTTCCCCGGCCTCTTCTTGCCTCCCACACAACTCTTTTCTTTAGTGCCCTGGCTGTGGCTGAGTGGGTGTCCAGAGTCCAGAGAGGAGACAAGGGGAGGTTAGCCTCCTGGTGGCAGCTTCCCTCCTTCTTTCTGGGTCCCCCGGTTTCCTACGTGAAGAGGGGAGGGAGAGCACTGTACAGAGCAACGGGAATGAGCAGATTGCCTGTGGGTGTGATGTCCGGCCCACTGGCGGATTGGTGATGGTGTCATTCTTGCGGTAGTGACACCATTGGGAGAGGGTGGGTGGAAGCACTTAGTTTTGTGCCACAGTGGGGGGAGGGTGCTACCCGGCAATCCCAGGTCAGTGGGGCAGGAGGCCAAGCCGCCGGGCGCAGCCGAGGCGTGCATTGGATCCGGTTTCCGGAAAGACGCTCTGGAGCAGGCGCGGCTGGGAGCGCCACCTCCCGCCTGGCGACCGCAAGCCAACCCGCCCCCGGTCGTGAAGGAGGCCTCTCGGTCCGGCCTGGGCGCTCCCTGGCGATCGCGAGGAGTGGGACCGCCTGCGTGTGGGGAGACTGGGGCTAAGCGCGCGGGGGCCCGCCGGGACCTGAGTGGAGGGGGTCCCCTTCCCTGCCATGAGAGGAGGGGTCACAGCAGTCGTTAATGGCTCAGACACCAGTGTCATGGGCAGCGCAAGAAAGGATTCTGCGACGGCTCCGCCGGGGGAGTACCCGGCGACTGAAAACGTGGCTAGGGGGCCCTGGGGTATTCAGACACGATTTTCTGCCACCTTTCAACTGGTTTCATTTTGTTTTCATTTTTCATTGGCGGATGTGATGTGTTTAATTTTGCATGCTAACGCAGTTTCTTCTGGCGCGGAGAGTGCGCGCACACGATGTTGTGCAACCGACAGGAAACCACCTAAATGTCCCCACTGTGGGGTGAGAGGGCTCCCAGTGTGGAACTCCACACCTGTCACAAAGAATGGGATCGATATATCTGCTTTGGCGAGGGACAATATCCACTGCAGATAAAATGAAAAGGCGACATGCAGAATATTGTGCACAGTGTAATCCATTTTTTAACGTCTTTATATTTGATTACTTTTGTGTGGACAAAGGAAAAATTATGGAGGAACACACATGGTTTTTTTGCTTTCTTCTTGGAAGGGGAAGGGAGACCACGTTAGATAATTTCATATTGTTTTATCCAGTGAATAAGATACACATATAATTCATATGACTGAAATAAAATATATTTCAAAAGTCCTAAAAATGTGACTCCAAAAAATTGGCCTCCAGAGGTTAGTGCTGGTGAGCCAGGGAGCCGCATGCACAGCGTTGTTTACAATGGCACCAACCCCCAAAGAGGAACAGAGGTGAGCAAAGCCAAACCTCCTTAACCAAGAAGGCTAGACTGTTGGAATGGATAAACAGTTTATGTCACCAGAGGTTTCTAAGCTGGAGAAGGGCTTGGAGGCATTTGTCAGACAGCTCTGGCACTGATGTGGAGAGGAGACTGGAAGAACAAGAAGCAAGGAGAATAGTCAGCGGACTTTGGCCAAAGTCTAGGAGAGCTGAGATAAGGACCGTAGCGGAGTTGCCAGTGGGGACCAAGGAGGGCAGAAATGGGAAACAATCCTCATCCCAGAGCCTCATATCATATATCTCTGCTTCCACCTAAAATCTTTTTAAATCAGATCATGTCATTCCCTACTGTAAACCTTGCAGTGGCTCCTATTTTATTCAGAGTCCAAGCCCAAGTCTTTACAGGGACCCATAAAGCCCTTGATCATCTGTATCGCTACCCCTCTCTACCCCGCCTACCTCTGCCTCCTAAGATAGCCCCTCCCACCACGCTCCTTCCCTCACCATCACCATCCTCCTCCTTGGCTTTCCACAGACACATCAGGCATTTTACTTATTTGTTGCATTTTTCTCTCTCCTTAGTAGAGAACAAGCACCACAAGGACGCAGGTGTTTCACTGATGTCCTCAGGGCTTAGAACATCGCTTGGCATGCAGTAGGTGCTAGAAAAATACCTATTGGAAAAGAAAATGAATGAAGGAACTTTCGTAGAGGAATTAATTAGAGCCTGTGCAAATGCTGAGGAGGTGTCCAGGACAGGACTCTAGGGAGAGGTTGCTGGAAACGTGGACCTGGGAGTCATGGGCATATGGGCTGCATCCGTGGGGTACTAGGTGGACTGATAGCCCTGCCATAGGCCACCTGCCCTGGCTGTTCCCTCGTGCCCTGACCATAGGCTCCCTCAAAGGCAGAGCTAAGTGATGTCCAAAGAACCCCATCATCTTGGCTTTGGGAATGCCTCACCACAGCCACATAAGGATCAGCTACAGGAGAACTCTTTTTATATTTCACCCACGTCCCCAGCACATAGTCACTTGGAGAAACTGCTCCCAAGAGCACATTTAGGATCTCACCTGGTCTCAGTTTTGTTATCTAAGGGCTTAGTGAAAGTCTAGAGCAGTTTCTGCCTTATCACCAGTTAAGCTCTACTGAAAAAATCATGGCCTTAAAAATCAATGGTGTCCCTGTATGACTGCAACAAGTAACTGCTTAGAAAATACAATGTAAAAAAGATCTCGTTCAAATCAGAACCAGATATGAAATACTGGGAATGAATTTAACAAACAATGTGGGGACCTGTATGAAGAAAAGTAAAAATCTTCACTGAAGAGAACATATTTAGGATTTAAATTGGTATAGGAACATAACACATTCACAATCAGAAAGATCTAATACTGAAAAGTGTGCAGTTCGTGTTAGTAAGCATCCAAGGTGGCTCTGATGATCCCTGCCTCCTGGCATTCATGGCCCTGTGTGGCCCCTCTCACACTTATCAGGGCTGGTCTGTGCGATCAATGGAATATGCCAGAAGTGATGATCTGTCACTTTTGTGATTAGGTGATAAAAGACATTTCTGCTTCCGTTTTGGGTTCTCTCTCCTCCCTTCATCACTCACTCTGGGGAAACCATGTTGTAAGACCCACATGGTGAGGAACTAAAGCCTCTGCCAGCAGTCACATGAGCAAAGTTGGCAGAGGATCTGGTCAGGTGAGGCTGCAACCCTGGCCAACAGCTGCACTGAAACCCACCAGGGACTCTGAGGCAGAATCACTCAGCAAAGCCATTCCTAGATCCCTGACCCTCAGAAAGGGTAGGAGATGGATATATATGTATATGCATTGTTTTAAAATGCTAAATTTCCAGGTTCTGCATTCATACATGGCTAATAAAATCTCAAATTAATTTATACATTGAATACAATTTCAAGCCAAACCTAAAAATTAATTGGGAAGTGGGAGAGAGGCTTGATAAAATGACTCCCATATTAGCCAAAGAACAGAATGAGAATGGCCTACAGAATAATGAGGAAAAGTAAACTCTACTTCAAATGTATATAATCAAACATTTCAGTTATGACACAAGAATGGGCAGATTGAAGTGAGAGAGCCCAGGTGCAGATCTAAATACATATGTAATAATTTAATATATGATCAAAATGATGGTAAATAATATGAGGGAGAAGATGGATATTCATTCAATAAGCAGAACAGATATAATTAACTAGATCCTCTCCTGTTACTGGATCCTACCAGGACATCCCTCAGAAGTTATGATCTCTGGGGATTCTGTGGCATATATAAGAATAATTACCACATTATTAGTAGTGAAAATTTCAAAATAATTGATGAGTTCAATAAACAGAATTTAGATAAATAAATCATCGCACATCTCAGGATAAAATGCTCTACAGCCATTAGAAATGATACTGAGAAAAATTTTTGTTGGCTTAAAAGGGTGCTCACACTGTATTACTAAGGAGGAAAGCAAGCTGTAAAATATTATGTGTAGTATGGACCAAGTTTTATACATCAGGGAAAACAACATTTTAACCACCACTTCATTCTAAGGAGAGTAAAGAGATACAATTAAAAGGAAAGGCCCAAGATCTAGAAACGTCGCTATGTTTGGATATGCACATTTGGGAGGCAAGCTGGGGTGAGCTCAGTTGCTCCATATAACACGACTAGAAGTCAGGGATCCTGACTGGTATAGATGAAAGCAGAAAAAGTGATTGAGAAAGCCACACAACAGGAGGCTGTGGACCACCCTGCCCCAAATTGTTTTTTTTGTTTCTTTGATACACACACACACACACACACACACACACACACACATCTTTCCATTTCTTTATATCTTTAATTTCTTTTAATAGGGTCTTATGGTTTTCATCATATAGGTCCTTCATGTGTTTCGTTATATTTATTCCCAGGTATTTTATTCTTTTTGTTGCAATTGCAAAAGTGATTGTTTTTTCCACTTCGTTTTCCTGACAATTCATTATTAGAGTATAGGAATACTATGGAGTTTTGAACACTGATTTTGTATCCAGACTTTATTGCATGTACTTATTGTTTCTAGTAGTGTTCTTGTGGAGTCTTTAGGGTTTTCTATATAGAGAATCACGTCATCTGCAAATAGTGACAGTTTGACTTCTTCATTTCCTATTTGGATGCCTTTTATATCTTTCTCCTGCCTGATGGCACTTTTTATAACAGTGGCAAGAGGGGACAGCCTTGCCTTGTTCCGAATCTTAGAGGGAAGGTTTTTAGTTTTTCACCATTAAGTATAATGTTGGCTGAGGGTTTGTCATAAATAGCCTTTATTATGTTAAGTTCC